TATGAAAACGAAATATCCCTCTCTCTCTTTCTCTTCTTGCCTCTCTCTCCTCCCACCCACCTTGTGTCCAACTTGGCTGCTCTGCACAGAGCACTGGGCTGTGAGTCCCGAGACCTGGCTTCTCCCGCAGCTCTGCCTCAGCTTACCTCTGTGGCCGGGAACAAGACATTGCTCTCAAGCCGAAATCTTCTCCTCTGTCAAATGGCAGGGTTGGACTCCGTGACCTCCACGGTTTTCGGACACTAACATTCCATGGACATTCCTGTCCTTCATCCCACACTTAGCCTGTCACGGAGGCCCACTTAGGCTTCCCTGGAAATCTCTCACCCATCCCTTCTACATTCACCGTGCTCTTACCTGTAACGATAATGGTTCCTCCCTCTCTTCCTGAAAAGCTGCTTTCACCACTGGATCTAAATTTGGAACCAAAAAGAATTTTGCAGTGAGTAGAGCCTGGGAGAGCTCCCCAGAAAATTCTGGAAGGACAAGGGGACAGACATCTCCATTAAGTCTGATCCACAGAGACTGAGAATGAAATAAAAACCTCAACTCCTGATTTTCTCAAACAACTTAGTGTCCTAGATTGTGTCCTGCCTGAAGCCCCCAGCCCCTCAGCCCTGTGCCGCTAACCAGCTCCCCCACCTCTTGCCGGGCCCAGCCATTCTGGCCCTTTTGGGGCTTCAGGGCTGGGTAGTTTCCATCTCCTTACTCTGTGGGTTAGCGTGTTTAGGGTTAGGGCCTCTGGTTCGACAGTGACGGTGGCCTCCCAAGGGCCAACACTGACAACTCAGGCCTTTGAAGCTGGAGCGGTTCCTCCAGAGCCTCAAGCCTCTAACTTGGGCCGCTGACATCAGGGAGGCAGCCAGGCTTCCCAGAGGCCTGGACAGTGGAGCATGTATTAGTTTCCTGTGGCTGCTATAACAAATCACCATACACAGAGTGGCTAAAAACAACATGGATTTATCATCTTATACAGGCATCTAGCTCGGAGCTACAGCAGGTCCATTCCAGAGCACTGCAACAGAGCAAACATCACAATAAAGCAAGCCAACTGAAATTTTTGGTCCCCCACTGCATATAAAAGTTGTTTTCGCACTATACCTCGGCCTATTAAGTGTGCGACAGTCTTATGTCTAAAAAAGAACAATGCACATGCCTTGATTTTAAAATACTTTATTGACACAAAGACATGAAGTGAGCAAATGTTGTTGGAAAAATGGCACCGATAGACTTGCTCAACTCAGTGTGGCCACAAACCTCCAATTTGTAAGAAACACATTATCTGCCAAGTGCCATAAAACAAGGTACGCCTATGGTTCTGGAGGTCAGAAACCCAAAGTCGGTCAGCAGGGCTGCATTTCTCCTGGAGGCTCTAGGGGAGAATCCATTCCCTCACCTGTTCTAACTTCTACAGGCTGTCCACATGCCCTGGCTTACGGCCCTACAGCGTTCCAACCTCTACCTCCATCACTTCCCCTTCTCTGACTTTGACACTCTGGCCTACCTCTTTATGACGGCCCGCCCAGATCACCCAGAATAATCTCCCCATCTCCAGACCCTTAATTACATCTGCAAAGTCCCATCTGCCATGTAAAGTAACGCAACCACAGGCTCCAGGGATTAGGGCGTGACCAGTACTCAGCCCACCACAGAGCTCAAAGACCGGAAGAGGACTCCCCTTACTAGCACTTTTCTAGAGTCAGGCCTTTTTGCCTTAAGAATATTTAAAATAGCTTAACAAAGCACAGCTAATTAAAAAGAAAAAACACCTGTATGAATACCTACTGTCACCTATTAACTGCCTACCATGTACCAGCACAAACAGAAAGAGGCATGGTGGACGCCATGTGGGGAGGTTATGTGTCCAGCTGGGAAGTAGCAGGGCCCCCCTGAGCCCACATGTCTCCCTTGAAAGGCACTGATGTCGAAAGAGGTTGTATTTCTTCCCTCAGGGACAGGAAGGCAGACCCCAGTCCAGGGCTAGGTTTAGGTGGGATGGCTCAGGGGCACTCCCCACCCCTCACACCAGCCTTGGACGCTGTCCTTGCCGAGGATCCCCGCCGTCTGGCACAGGCCAAAGAACTGACAGAGCCTCTGACCTCCTTACAACCTAAGGAAATCTTACCTGTTCTCAGTGCTGGTAACTCACTCACCCTACTGACTGTACTCTTCGGGCACTGGTCCTGTATCCAGGGAACAGTTCTGAGTTGGCCCAGCGACAGAGGACACAGCAGATTCCCAAGACAGGCCTGGGATTTGGAAGGGTCGTGGGATTTTACCGAAGGCTTGACAGGCCAGAGAAAGAGGAGCTCTATTTACAGATTGGCCTTCATCAGGCTGTCAACAAATTCCCCCCCAAAGGTATGGGCAGAGGCAGATAAAAACACAAAAGAAATGCATGCCCTATGTAGGCAAGAAAGAGACTCGATGCGTTCATCCCACTGATGCAGGAACAATCAACTGCCCCCTTCGTCAGGGTAGAAAATTCCATCCATCCAATCATTTAGAGTAAGCTGGAATGGTTTATGATGAAGAGTGGCCCATGGTGAGATACAAAAGATGACCAGAGAGGGAGTGAGGCGACAGAAGTACCAGAGGAGGGGCCAGGGCTTGGAGACCCTGGTGACACCGCACTCAACGCTGGACTCTTGAATCGAGGCCATGAGTTCCCCAGGGCCTTGGGTGAAACCCGGAAGTGGGTGAGCGCCTCATCTTGTGTCCTGGTTCGGACTCCCCACGTGATGCATGTCACAATTCTCAACCTGTGACCCAAAAACCCAGCAATGAGTGACCAGAGGACTTGAGATCACCTACGTGGAGAGAAGTACAAGGATGAAGTAAATCCAACTCTCAGCATTAAGATTTTGGGGGGTGTTCAGCAGGTTTATACTCATGACAACCTGTGGATTAATTTAAGGAGCTTGAACTCATAAGAGAATCTGGCATATATTCACTTTGGGGCTTTTACCTGGAATGTGAAATTGAGATTAGATGTGTAATTTTCATTTTGGAGGTGGAAGAGAACTGTTAGTAAACAGCTTTGAACTGCTCCAGAGAACTTGACTTACACTTAATAATATTTCAACTGCTTTGTGCTGAGCAAGAATTTGCGGCCTCAATTTGAATTTGCCTCAGTGGGGAGTCTGATGTACTGGAAAGAATTATTGAAATCTGTAAATATGTTTAAAATATTTACAAGAACTTGTTTTGGGAGATTTAAATGGGATTGTTTGCGGAGTGGTTAACGGTTACATGTAGGAATGACTAGGACAAGCAAGAGGGTTTCTATGTTTACAGAAAAAATGGCATTATCCATATAATGTGTGTGATAACCTAAATAGCTTAAGAAATGGATTTAAAAATTTTTCTCTCTTTAGCAGGATTGAAAATGTAAAGTAAGGATATAGCCATCTGCACACATACAAGCAAATTTGAATATTGAGACTATCAAATAAGGGCATTTGTCTAAGGATGTAGAATAACTCAGTAAGCATACTTTCGTTCAAATGCCTCTTACCCAATTCTTTTCTAACGTGAGCAGTGAAAAGGTCGATTGACCTCTAGAAACTGTGGTATGGTCAAGTGCTCACACCTTGGGCTTAGGGAACTTCCTGGTTGGAACAATTTCCCCCTCTCCTCAACTCCTATACCACTGTGCCCTCGGTTAGACTTGCACGTAAATAGCCAGAACAGGGTATCTTGTGTATCAGCCTCTCTCAAAGGACTTTGACCCTCTGAGGCCAGGCTCTGGTCTTGTTCCATGGTTTTCCCCATGGAGCTGCACCCACCACAGACCGACACCGAGCATTTACTGGACTTTTAACCAGCCGGTGGTAAATCCTACAGGAATGTTTCCCAAAGCAAATGCCAACCTCTACCCCATGTCCTTCCTTCTGAACAGTCCTCTTGCCTCTTTCCCTGGGCAGTAAGTATTCCAGAATGTTCTAAGATTCTAGGAGCTCTATGTGTTACTGCATTGGCTTTCCAAAAGCACTATTATTGCCACTTAATAGCTAAAGGAACGATAGTGCAGTGTCCCCACTTTGGAAACAACAGTCTACTGCACTGGTATTATCACTGATAGTCGTCACTCCCTGTCCTGCAAGTAAAAGACAGCCTCAGGAAGGACAGACAGGCAAGGAGAAAAAACCGGAGAGGCTGGAGCAGGGCACACAGATCCCCTGGGGATCTTGTTAAAATGCAGATTCTGATTCTGAAAGTGTGGGGTGGGGCCTGAGACTGCATTTCCAGCAAATTCCCAGGTGATGCTGGACTGCTGCTGTCTGCAGGACATTTTGGGTTTTTTTTAAGATTTTATTTATTTATTTGAGAGACAGCACAAGCAGGGGGAGGGGCAGAGGGAGAGGGAGAAGCAGACTCGGGTCTCGAACCCAGGACCCCGAGATCATGACGTGAGCCGAAGGCAGACACTTAACCAACTGAGCCACCCAGGCGCCCCAACTGCAGGACATTTTGGATAGTGAGGGTCAAGAGGACTCTTACTGAGACAGTTCAGTGTGTTCCCTTATAGCAAAAATAAGCAGAAGGGAGGGGCACACAAATGTCACAGAGCTGTCTGATGCGATAGAAAACAAAGGTAGGACTTATTACACAGCCCCTTCCTTACACATCCATGACCTTATCTTCAAATCACAGGAGCCTTCAGAGGAAACCACCTTTTCTTTCTTAAAATAAAGATAGCGACATGTAGGAGAATGGAATGTGCCAGGGTCAAAAACCTATTAAGGTTGGGTACAGTGGGCCCCCATCATCCTTGACCCACGCACCCTTCTGGAAAACAGTGAGCAAGGAGCAGGCCAAGAGTGGTCATGGGAGCACTGTTGCTTTAATATGGTGTGTGACAAGTAGTATCGAAATTGTCCACACTCTCCAATCTTACTCATTTGTAATCGGCAATAATTAAAACTAAAGGAAAAAAAGTGCGCTAACCACACCTCTGGGCTTAAAAACGAGAAGACAAGACACATAAATTCTCTTCCTTAAAAAAGAGCCATTTCAAAAGATTTTCTTTAATATCATAAAATATTTTCATGGACAAGTGAGCTAGCAAACACACATGCACCAATGTGCCTTCTGATGAGATACCCCCCTACCCCCACCCCACCGCCCCGCTCCCACATCAAGGTGGACATGAGATTGGAGAAATGAATACAGCAGATGATACAGAGAGAAAAAAAAAATCGATAAAAAGTACAGAATAGAACATTGTGCTTGGTTATTGTCCTATGTCACAACAAAACAAAACATTTCGGTGCAAACAGTTAATTTTTCCTCTTTTCCATTTAAGTCTGGTGGAGAAAAAAATACTTTTTCTATAATAAAATATGTGGTTTTTTGGCTTTTTTTTTACTTTTTTTTAACATAACTTTTTTTTTCTTTTTTGCAGAAAATAATTTTGTAAACTGTCACTTTGCGGGCAGGGAGGCTCGATGCCACGTGGGTCCCGGCTCGCCGGGCTCGAGGCTGAGCGAGGAGACCAAATCCCGGCGGGAGAGGGGGCAGCAGGGGTGCAGGGCGGGGGGGGGCGCGCAGCGGGCAGGGTGAGGGCGCTGGCCTGGGCGGGCACGTTAGAGGTCACTCTCGCCGTACAGCGCCGTGGAGAAGGACATGTAGTCCAGAGCGCCCGGCACGGCATCAGGGCCGCTGTAGGGGGCCATCCTCGCGATGCAGTACTCGGCCTGGTCGGGCGGCAGCTCTCGGCGCAGCTCGTCCACCGTGATGTAGTTCTGCAGAGAGAGCGGGCAGGGCCGCCGGGATGTCACTGGGGGCGGCAGCACCCCGCCCCAGCCCCGTCCCCTCCTCCTGCTTCTGGATACGGAGACGTGCGCGCGCGCACCCATGCACATGTATATCACGTATCCATTTATATACGCGCATGTTTATAATGCACGCACTTGCATACATACCCACGTGTGTATACACAAAACGCGTGTTCGTTTTCAATCTCCTGTCCTGCCATTTCCATACCTACTTTGGCCTGTGTGCAAGCTAATTCAAGCGCCAACTGCACCTATAATTCCATGTATCTCTCTAGTCTGCAGCAACCACGGGCTGGGGCAACACCAGCAGGGACTCCGGCTGGGACGCACACCCGCTCAAGTGAACACTCTGGAGGTCACGTAATGTCAGCAAATGCAGTGAGCATCCAAGCGTGACATCGCCGTGGTGGACGGCGGTCTCCACCACGGTTGCGAGATGTGGGCCTGCCCCCACCTTGCCTGGTCTCAGCCCAGGTTTCTGTGTGTCCGTGACAGGTCTACTGGGAAGTTGCTTCTTTTAGGAGTTTTAGGCTCCAGAACAGCTCACTTGAGGCTCTGACCCACAAGGTGGGCCCCCAGCCCCATGCCCTACCTCTGCCAGAGTCCCCTAGGAACCAGTTTCGAGGAGGGTGGGGTCACCCCTAGGTCACTCCAAAAGTCAGGAGCCCAGGTCCCTTTCTGGACCTCAGAGACCCAGAGTCACTTCAAGGAAGTGGTTTCTGAGGGTCATTCCAGCTCCAAGGTGCTAGGACTCTAATAGGGTGTCCTTAAACTTTAGGAACCTCTATTGGCTCAGTCTTTTTCCCTTATAGACTGAGACATTCCAGAAATTATGCTCCCCATTAGCTTTGGCTTTTTATAACTCAATCTTTTCAGTCTGGAGGAAAGATGGCAGAAGGATTATCCTATGAATTTTACAGAAAGGAACTCTGGCCTCTAGACATCCCCCGCTTTGCCAGTTTCCCCTGGTATTCCCACTGTTCCATTGCCAGGCAGGGGACTTGGGAAATTTGGAAACCGAAACTGACTGGTGCTCAGGGTAGACCAGTGCGAGACATGCTTCCCTCCCGCTCCCCGCCTGTGCCCGGCACGACGTAAGGGTGAAGTCTGAGTTCTCAGACGGCCCTTCCATCACTCGGTCACATCCCCACCCCATTCTACCCGTCTCTACTACTCATCGCTCCAGCCCAAGTGCGAAGGAGTCCCGCTCCCTGGCAGGAGACACCCCCCCCACCCCCGCAGGCTCATATTGTGTCCTAACACCTTAGCTGATCCCAAAACATTACAGAAATGGGTGGAGGTGGACAGCAGGGGGAGGCCCAGTGGGAGGAAGGGGCCACGGGGTGCAAGTGACCTCCCCTCCAGATCGGAGTGGACCCTGCACAGCACCCACACCATAGCAGACCCACCTTGTCCCCAGCCAGGATCTTGAAGGAGGCCATGACTTGGTCCGCTGTGTCTGTGTCGGCGGTCTCCCGAGACATAAAGTCGATGAAGGCCTGGAATGTCACTACCCCCAGGCGGTTGGGGTCTACGATGCTCATGATACGGGCAAATTCTGCCTCTCCCTGGAGAGAAGAGCCAACCCCAGGCCTGTCAACCTCTCAGCCACAGGCTGCTGGGAATGTCTCATAGGGACCTGAAGCCCCTGGGGGCTCAAAGTAGCCTGAGACTGTGAGAGGGGGGCACAGCGGCCCCCTGACCTGACCTGGGCTGTCCTAAGGGCATCACAGGGACATCAGACCCAAGAGCGAAGACCCCGTTCAGGCTTCCCACGCCCCACAGGTTCCCGTCGGAGCAAACGACGACAGTCCTGCCAACAGCTGTCGAGGCTGACGGCACGGGGCATGTACCGTGTGCCAGGCGCTCTTCTAACAGCTGCAGGCATTTCGCTTCTTTTCACCCTCCCCACCACTGTATGGCGCAGGTCCTTATTCCTTCCGTCGGGTTTCCAGACGAGCAACCGGAGGCCCAGACAGGCTTGGTGACTTGCTCAAGGTCACACAGCCAGCAGGTAAAAGAGCTGGGGTTTGAGCTTGGATGGCCTGGCTCCACAACCTATGACCTCCCCACACTGTACTTTCTGTGTGTCAGACCCATGCACAGCACTCACGGAAGTTCCTTCAGTGAGCCCTGACCGCAGTCCTGCTGGGGTCCCCTCACCTCATCCCGGTCCCCAAGCTGGTGATGGCAGAGCTGGGATTTACTCCTGGGTTCCCTGCATCTCAAGCCTGTGCCCTTGCCCGGCCCGGGGCAGCCAAGCTCTGCCCTTTGCACTGCGGCCCAGGAGCTGCCTGGCTGCCCAGCTCAGGCCCCCGCTCTGCTCAGAAGGCCTGCGTGAGGGCACACAGCTGAGAAGACTGTGAAGGCCAAGGGGCGGCAGGCGTGGCCGGAGCCACCGCCAGGGTGGAGGCAGAAACCTCTGTGCTTCCTGAAAGATGAAGTCGAGCCCAACCCGACCCGGGAAGTCCAAACCTCCAGTCCTCCCTGCTAGCCTTGGGGTCAGCCCCACCATCCACCATGGGAGTGAAAAAGCCCATCTCCACAGTAAGTGCCAGAGAATACGCCAGCACAGAGACCGAGGTGAGAAGGCCAGACCCCTGGGACACACACAGGCCACGAGGCTGGGCCCAGCCTGCAGGGCGCCATCTTCCCGACAGACCAGAATCGTGAGGCCCCTCCAGTGAGAGCAGCCCCTAGCCTGAGGGCCTCCAGCCTGCCCTGGCCAGGACTCGGCTTCTCTGGCCAGCTGGCGGGCCCTCGTCAGAGCAGAGGGCGGGGTTTACGTTACCATGTTGTAACCCATGGAGATAAGGCAGGCGCGGAAATCATCCGTGTCCATCATGCCTGTCTTCTTCTGTGGGGGCAGTGGCACCGAGACACCGGAGGGTCAGAGGCAGGAGGAGGAAGGGCCGGCCCAGGGCCAGGAGGACAGGGCGCAGATGGCCAGAAGGGGAGGTCGAGGTGTATGGTTGGGGGGTGGTTAGGAAGGGAAAAGGAACACAGGAGGAGACACATCCACAGGGAGGAGAGAGAATAGGGAGAGGCAAAAGTCCGTCCACAGGATGGAGAGTGACAAGGAGAGAGGAAGGTGGGCCCCGGGCAGGTTCCCACGAAAGACGACCGAAGGCAGAGGTCAGAGCAGTTGGAGCAGTGGGAAGAGGAGCCCGACATGGGCCAGACAGCAGGAGAGGACGAGCCCCGAGGCCCACAGGAAAGGGGAGACAGGGAGATCCAGACAGAGAGAGAGAAAAGAAAAAGGAGAAACGCGTTATTTCTCGGCCCGGATGCCACCCCTGAGCGTGCTCCATGCAGGAGGCGAGTACCTGGGGGTCGTTGCCAATATCATAACCCAAGCTGATGAGGCAGGCTTTGAACTCCTCGGGACCCAGCGTGCCGGAGTGATCCTGGGGCCGCCGTGCGCCAGGCAGCGAGCCATGCGGTGCCAGGGAGGTGGAGGCCGTGAGGGGAGGGGGTGGGCCATGCCCCGGGTGGAGGGAGGTGTGTGGGGGGAGACACGGGGACAAAGGCATGCGGGTGGAGAGGGTGGAGGGTGGAAGGGGCGGGGGGGGGAGGGGAAATAAAAGTGCACACGGTTAGACACACGGACGAGGTCCAGAGGGTGCCCTCTCCCTGGCACACGCAGCCCTGCTCTGGGAAGCAGGCCAGAGGGGAACACGGTGAGCCACATGGGTGAGAAGCTCCCCCAGAAGGGCCCGGCCCACCCCGTGCCCAAGGCCCCAACCCGGCTTTCCAAGGAGGCTTCACCCACCCAGGAGGCTGGAGGACAGGGCAGGAGGCAGGGGCGGTGGGCAGCACTGAACCCCATGCTCTGACCCCTCTGGCTGCCCAGAAGCCCCAGGGCACTGGGAGGGCCGGCCCATGTAAAACCCAGCCTGTCCCAGAGCCAGGATGAGAACCTAGGACAAACAACGCTGACGCCCCACAGAGTCTCCCAAAGACTGCTGGGGGTGGGGGGAGGGAGCCTCCCTGAGGCTAGGGGAGCCTTGCTCCCAAGGGCTGACTCCTCGTGGCCAGAGAGCAAGGGTCGGGGCCAGAGATCCTCTCTCCACTCACTACATGCACTCTTGCTCCGCAAAAGCAGGGACAGCACACCGGGACAGGCTTTCTAAGGCCCGCTGGGAGGTGCAGTCAGGGCAGGCTGACTCCCTGCTCTCCCTTCTTCTCCTCCTCCTCGCTTGCCCAGGAACTGGCCCAGCATGGCTGCCCACCTCCTGGGCAGTGCCCTCCAGAGCCCTGGGGCAGGGGCTGGGGACTGCTCTAAGTGCGGGCGGTGGGGCTCTCACCCGGTCGAAGTGGTTGAAGGAGGCCCGGAACTCATTCATCTGCTCCTGGCTGATGCCCTTGGCATCTCGGGTCAGGATCTGATTCTCCACTTCGTTGATGGTCCTGGCGATGGTGGTGAGGAGCTGCTCCCAGCCCACACGGATGTGCTGGGGAGCGGGGATGAGGAGCCTGTCAGCAAAAGGGCCCCAGGCCTGGGCCTCGCCCGCTCCTGGCTACTCGTTCCCCCAATACTGAAACGGCCCAAGTAATCAAATCCGGACCGCCAGCCAGATTTACAGCATCACCAGGACAAGGACAACACACCAGGACAGAGGACCCAGATGATGAAAGGGGAAGCAAAGGAGGGCGCTGGCCTCCACCTGAGGCAGCAGAGACCAGAACTGACAGCGTGAGTCAGGTCAGGAAGGAGGGCCCTGCACATCCCCGCTCTAGCGCCACACACACACGCCTTCACGGTCCAAACAATTCACCACTTGGAGAGCAGGTGCCTAAGCCAGTATTTGGAGACCACCTGCATCTGAATCACCAGGGTGCTCAGCCTCATCCCAGACCTAGTGAATCAAATCCTAGAGCTGGAGCCTGCGAGTCTGCATTCTCAACAACCTCCCTGAAATTCAGAAGAGCCTGAAGACCCAGAGCTCCAGAGGGGAGCAGCAGCGAGTATCCCCTCACTCCCAAGTGAGAGTTTGTCCTCCTGCAATGAGCACTTCCCTTGGAAGATGCGTAACTGCCCCCTGCGCCAGCCCGGGGGGTGGGGAGCAGAAGGGGATATGGGTCTCCCTTCCTGGAGAAGCAAGGTTGGCGCCACCCACCTCCATGGTGTAGTTGGTGTGCTTGTTGTCGAAGATGAGGGCCTCCTGGATGAGCTGGTGGTCACCCTCCAGCTGGTCGATCTTGGGCTTGTAGTTGACGATGCTCTTTTCATACTGTCGCAGGTGGCTGAGCTGGTCCTCCAGGGTCCCGTGCATCTCGATGGAGATCCGCCCGATCTCCTGCTCACCCGGAAGGAAGTCCTTGTCAGACCGCCCCACCTCTGTCCCTGGGGTAGGGACTGGGGCACCCAGGTCATCGGTCAGCCCCTCAGATGATTCTCGGTTCCCACCCCAGTACCAGGGAACCCATCAGTGGTCATTAGTCAACCAAGAACAAGACACATTGAGCAGGGACACACCTTGGTGTGGCAACAGCATCATAAAGGGGTATGAGAAGAATTGTCATTACCAGATGACATACTTCCCATCTCTCGGGTGCCTCTCAGCCTCAGAAAGGGGCTGCAAGGTCAGCTCCTCACCTAAACGTTCGCTCCTCTGCTTGCCATTCAAACTCCCCGCCCAAGTCTTGTTCCCAGCTATCACCCACCTCAGGGACTCTCTCTCTGCCCACAGATCCAGCTTCCTCACAGCCTCAGAGCACCTGACGCACCTCCTCAGTGGCCACGCACCTGCTGTTCTGCCCCCACAGGGCCTGCCTTGGCCTGCCTCGATCCCACCTGCCCCACGGGCCAGGCCTCATCCCCCTTTCTGTCTTGACTTCATCTATGGAAACAAAACCTGTTTGTAAAAGCCTCAGTTGTGCACTCAATTTGACCCAGCAAATATTTCCTAAGCAGCTACTACGCACCATGTGCTAAGCAGGTGGGGGTGGGGTGCAGGAGAGACACAAACATGAGCTCGACATGGTCTCTGCCCTCAAGGAGCTCAGAGAGACACCATGCTCTCTAACCCAAGCAGGGCCCCTTCCCTGATCTACAGCACCCCAGGATCTGGCCCAACAACTCAACAAAAAAATTCCATGCTCGCCCGAGGCTCAGTTCTCTCTCTGGAAAGATCCTCTCTTTGACAAAGCTCTCTGCTCAGGAGGAAGGGAGACCTGGTCAGTCAAAGAAGCCAAAGGATAAATCAGCTAGTCAGTTCCCCAGGCACTCATCCTTCTGTGGGACTTCCTCATGTGGCTCTTTAATGGCAGCCCTGGGTGGGTCTTTGCTCACAAACCAGAGATCGAGATCAACCCACTGGCCTTCCCTGACAGGCTCCACACCCCTGTAGGGCAGCAGGCCCATCGTGGGCTTGGGACAGGCACTCCTCCCGGGGTCTCGCCTAGGAGACAGGGCAAGCCTGACGGCTGGGATGGTGCTCAGAAGGGCAGAAGCCCCCATCCCTGCCTCCCGTGAGGGGACGCACCTCCATCTTGGTCTGAATCCAGGGCCCGATGACATTGGCCTGGGCTGCGAACTGCTTACGTAGCCTCTCATTGTGTTGCTGGCGGGCGTGCTCCTCCGTCAGGGCCTGGTCCCTCCGAGGCACCAACTGCCGCACCTGGGGTGGGGACAATCATGGGATGTGGGCAACGGGCCGGCCACCTGCCCCATACTTCAGATGAGGAAATGGAAGGGGCATGAAGGGAAGGGGCCAGGCAGGTATAGAACAGGAGTGAACACATGGACCTGTTCCAGAAACTCCATCGTTCATTAACTGGACCGATGAGTACTTACCGTGTGATAGTGAAAAAGATAAGATCAATAAAAATCAACCAAAAAAGGGGACAAAATCCCTGCCCTTATAAAACTTTCAATGGCCCAGCCAATGCCCCACCCAGCCCTTGCACTCACGTGCTCCCATTTGCCATTGATCTCCTGAGGAGTGATGGTTGTGTAGGGGTTGGTGCCCGCCATGTTGACGTGGTAGGTCTGGACAATCTTGGACACCTCGTTGTGGATACCCAGGATGGCCAGACGCTCCTTGTCGGCATCAGGGAGGGTGGCCTTGAACTGCTCGTGGGCTGTGGTCAGTCCCTGGGTGCAAGAGAAGCACAGTGACCGGTGCCTCCTGTGGGCAAGATGAACTAAGGGAGCCCTACAGGTCCCAGGGTAGAGGGGGGTGGCAGGGCCACTGAAGGCCTGGCCCCACCCCAGCTGGGAGACCCAGAGGCATCAACCAAGGATGCTCATGGCTGAGAACCAGGCGGGCAGGGCCAGCCATGGGGAGGTGAAGGCAGAGCCATCAAAGCAATAGCTTCATGCTTAGGGCTGGTGAAGTCAGGAGCAACCACCCTAGAGTGTACCCCATCCCACAGTCGGGTCAGGGACAAGGGTGCCCCAGGTCTGCTCCCCAGGTGACCCCCCCCCAACCCAGGCTTCCTTTGCAAAATCTTTTAAATCCAATCCCCTGCAGCTGTATAAAAGAATGAGGAAGCTATTAATATGCAATGAGCTCCAAAACATTAAGTTAAAAACAAGGATTCAGAATACAGTATATAATTCTGTGTTAAAGAGGGTATGGGGAAGAACACATTAATTAATAAATAAATACATAAAGAACACAAAAATAAATATAAATTAATGAATAAATAAAAAAATGCTTGCATATGCCCTTCCCTCTGGGGAGGGCACTAGGGTAGGAGGGAGAATTTACAGCATATCCTTTTTATCTTCTAGATTTTATACCATCTGCATATATTACCTAATCAAAATACATAAAATGTAATTCGTTCAAATGTATAAAATCCTTGGCTGCTATCCCCATCCCCACAGAGCAGTTCTGCAGGAGCGAGGTTTGCACAGGGGCCTGGGGGAGCCGGCCTCTGGGGGTGAGGGGTCTGCAGCACACCTGGATCTCCTCGATGGTGTGCACGATGAAGGTGTCCTGCAGATCTTCCATGGCCCCCTCCATCCAGTTGTTGAAGGGTGCGGCCCGCTTGGCATACTCCAAGTACAGCTGGTCAATGGTCTCCAGCAGTTTCTCTGTCCGCTGGGAGTGACAATTGAGGGGAAGGGGTGGACAGGGAGATATTCAGCAGAGTCATATCCAGAATCATCACTCCCTGCCCACTCCCCGCGCCCCCCACCACCCCGCCCCAGGCCTCCAAGACCCTCCTGGCCAGCCACAAGGGGTCTAGGTCTGGATGCACCAGACTAAGTCAGACAGAAAGACTAGGCTTTCTCTGGGACACTGGTTCTTAATGAGGGATCTACAGACCCTCCCACATTTGGAATCACCCAGCCTGGCCCCCGGTCTGACCTGTAAAATAGGAAAGTTCTCAAATGGCTAGGGTTGGGCTGCGAAGTGCACTAGACCAGGAGGAGGAGGTGTGGTTAGGGCCAGAGAGGAGGCATCTCCAGCAAGGCAAAGCTCAATCCAGTGCCAGGGTGAACCTTCGACAGGCAGGCCAGAGCAGGTCCAGGGAACCCAGCGGAGCCTTCTGGCTCAAAGCAAAGGGACTCACAAAGCAGGAAGAGGCACCCAGAGCTGCTAGAGGCAGGCCTCCCTCTCCTTCAGGGGCCCTCACCTCCAGAGCTTCCCTCCGCTTCTGGGTTAGGGCTCCCAGATTGTCCCACTGGTCACAGATCTTTTGGCACCGGGCATTGACACTGGGTGAGTCATAATAGTCCAGCTCACTAGAAGGCAAGAGACAGGAAGAGTCCGGTGACCCGGATTACCTCCAGGACCTGCTCTCCTCCCTGGGGCTGGGGGTGCGAGAAGCACAGGGGGGCCTTCTAGGTGCCCCTCCCACCCCCCAACTCCTTGGCTTTCAGAAGACTGCTGGGAGACAAATGAAGGCCAGTTCTGTCCAGGGCCCCTGGCACACCTCGGCTGGAAGCGATGCCAGTCTTGACCCCAGTGCCCCACGGCAGGGAGCCTCTGAGGCCCAGCAAGAGCTCTGGCCCTGCACTAGTTCCAGGAAAGGACCAGATGCCCTCAGCAGTAGGGTCACGGGCTCATTCTCCGCCTGGGGGGACACTCAGTCTTCTGTATTGATGCCCTTCCCACTCGGGCGCCCGCTGTACCCCCCTCCTCGCCTCTCACAGCCACACCCCTCCCACAACAGCCCCAGCCCTTGCCGCGCCTCGCCTCGCCTACTTGAGCTCCTGCGCAATGGCAGCGATCTGTTCCACGCGGTCCTGGTGGGCGGCCAGGTCGCTCTCAAAAGCCTCGTGCTTCTTGAGCAGGGCCTTGATCTCCGAGAGGGTGGCAGTCTCATAATCCTTCTGCCGGAGCATAGCCTCTTTGCCTGGGTTCAGAGAGAGGGGGTACAAGGCTGAGCAGAAGCCAGAGGCCCCATCTTCTTGGCCCCGACCGTCCACCCCTCGGGGCCCCAAGAGCCCCATATCCGGGGGCACGACGTCCCCAGATGTCCACCATACAGCGATCGATCATCTGCAGCTTGAGAAAGCGATGTGCAGCAGGAACATCCACTAAGAGGCCGAGTCGGGGAAGTTCCTACTTTCCATGGAACATGTACGGGGCCACGAGGAGTGGTTCCATATGAAGACTACACAGGGCTAGGCCCTGTGGTATAGCCAGGAAAGAACCACCCAAGCGCCTCAGGGGTGCCCCATCTTTTTTTTTTTTTTTTTTCCAATTTTTTTTTTTATTCTTATGTTAATCCCCATACATTACATCATTAGTTCTAGATGAAGTGTTCCATGATTCATTGTTCGTGCACAACACCCAGTGCTCCATGCAGAACGTGCCCTCCTCAATACCCACCACCAGGCCAACCCATCCTCCCACCCCCTTCCCCTCTAGAACCCTCAGTTTGTTTTTCAGAGTCCATCTTCTCTCATGGTTCGTCCACCCCTCCGATTTCCCCCGCTTCATTCCTCCCCTCCCGCTACCTTCTTCTTCTTCTTTTTTTTTCTTAACATATCTTGCATTATTTGTCTCAGAGGTACAGATCTGAGACTCAACAGTCCTGCACAATTCACAGCGCTTAACAGAGCACGTACCCTCCCCAGTGTCTATCACCCAGTCACCCCATCCCTCCCACCCCACCCCCCACTCCAACAACACTCAGTTTGTTTCCTGCAATTAAGAATTCCTCATATCAATGAGATCATATGATACATGTCTTTCTCTGTTTGACTTATTTCACTCAACATAATACCCTCCAGTTCCATCCACGTCATTGCAAATGGCAAGATCTCATTCCTTTTGATGGCTGCATAATATTCCATTGTATATATATAAGGGGTGCCCCATCTTTAGAGCTTCTCCAGCTATTGTTGCTAGCCCCCAGCAGCCCTGCAGGGACCCCTCCCCTTAATTACTCTCACTGTGGTCAGCATGTCCAGTGCACTCTACACAGAATCCAACAGTGGCCAGAACCTTCTCTGTCAAGGGCACCGCCCTCTCTTTAGCAGTGGGGCGGGGCTGGCATGTCTTGGATTTCTGCTTCCCAGGAGGAAACGGGATGAGAAACGAACCTCCTGGGACTGTTGTTACATGATGTCTGACAGCTGTCCCGTGAAGCGTCTGGTACAGGACAGGGGCCGCCCTGGCCTGGCCTGGCCCGCACGCCCACCCTCCCCATCTGGGCCCATCAGGGATGCTCAGTCCTGCTCAACAAATGAAGGCTGGGCTGTGGAGGCTGGAAGACGGTGCCCGATGTGGCCTTTCTTTCCTTCCCTCTACTTTTTTTTTTTTTTTTTAAGAATTTTTAAAGATTTTATTC